GGGGGGGGGGGGGGGGGGGGGGGGGGGACAGAGACAGAGAGACGTGCAGACAGACAGAGAGGGAGAAATAGATAAATATAGGGCATTGTCGGAAAATAGAGCGCGAAGGCGTTCCACTCGTGCTGCATACTTAACCAAGATACCGAGGTCGAAGATTAAGACTTCCTCTCATTTTCCATACCCACATGTCAGCAAACGCATGCATAGCCTGTAGCCTCTTTTGCGTGTACACGCATCGCAGGCATGTATGCTGTGCCAAAAAGGAGGGGTTAGGGTTCCCGTGAAGAGGAGGCCCACCCCATCGCGAGAGTCGGGGGAGGGGGGGGGGCAGCGGTCACCACAAATCACTCGAGACGTCATGAAGGGGAATACCCGGATCGTGGACAATTGAGCAGACCAAGAACCACCGGATGTGTCCAAACCACCGTCATCGCTGAATTCTCGGCTGAAGGGCGTTTCCCTTTTGAGCTCCTCCGCGCGCAGGCAGCACGCGCAGACGATCCCACCCGACTCTGCGCCGTGGACACGCAACGTGACTCCCTCGCTTTGCCGAGAGTGTAGCTTTCAATGCATCATGTAGTGCGGTGGGTATCTCAGCCGTCCATCCAGCCGCATGTGTCCAACAGGATGTGTCAACACGTCATCAAGTGGTGAATAATGCTGGGAGGTCAACTTCATGCGTCCTGTGTTCCCGTGGGTGTCTCAGCAATCCATCCAGCCACATGTTTTCAATAGGACGGGTCTATCAGGGTCCCGTCGCCTCCATTGCAACTACTGCTTAGCACGCTGGTACATGACAGAAACGCGCTTCGGCAAGCCGCCACAATATCAGTCCCGCCCTCCCCGAAGATACTTTGATTCATCGTCGTCCACATTGACCGGTAATTGTAGTGAGTACGTGAATCCATGCTGTCTACGTATCACTATAATATTTGGAAAAAACAAGGCAAGGTATCGTCGTATTCCCTACAACACAACAGCCTCTGAGCTAACAGAGTGTTGGCTGCGACAGCATTTTCCCCGCGAGGGCCGCGAGGGGTATTCATCTTTAGTGTGGCGTGCGTGGTATCTTCGGTAACCCTACCACTCGACCCGAGTGCCCTTTCGCGTACTTGGGCTCGCGTTGAGCCGAAATAAATACCATCCCTAGGTGTGGCATTGCACAGGGGTGTGTGGCGTCGCTTAAATAGGGCATATTTCGGGTTGTGATATCGTTCGGGTTGTGTATGGTGTGTGTGTGTGTGTGTGTGTGTGTGTGTGTGTGTGTGATATCGGGTGTGTGCGGAACAGGGGACCTCCTACGCAAGGATATTCATGTATTCATTCATGAGAGGGGTCATGTACTCAATTCATGAGCGGGGGCCTTCGCATTCCCCAACCCTAACCCCAAGAGTTGTCCTCCCCCACGGCTGCTACTAGGTAGAACACCGCCGTGTCTCTCTCTCCAACCAACACTCACCCCGTGCATGGCGAAGCCGCACCCCACCCCATAGGACACCCGGCCAATCATGAGGACCACCAACCCCCAGTCTCCCGACCAAACCGAAGACCCCGAAACCGCCTCAACTATGGCCCCGAAGAAAAAGAGCAGGGCCGCCACCAGGATCTCCCGCCGCCTGCCGAGGGCGTCGCCCACCTTGAAGCAGATGATTGATCCGATCATTGCCCCTGTCCAGGTTGGGTTGAGTGTAATAAAACAGTAACAGTTAAAGAAGGGGTGGGGAACACATGACATGGGTCTTCATGATGTGGTAATAGGGGGGGGGG